TTGGTGAGCTTTGCTTAGAGCATATAGAAATATATTGATATAACATAAAACTACATTTTTAAATTCACGTTTCATTTCAATTAAGTTTGGTTAGTAAAACTATTTCATCAAAACTCAGAGGTAGGTTTTTCAAAAAATATTTAGCTTTTGCATTCAATAAAGCGAAACAACTTAAATGGAGCTGGTAATATTTTTGTTTGTGTTTTGCTTTGCATGCCAAAACTAAACAATGTGTCATGAAAAAATGTATGAAAATCCAAAGGTAAATAAATAATACTGTAAAAATGGGATTTAGTGAAAATAATGCGTGCAGCCAATTATATAAAAGTGAAAGTGAAACTCAAATGGAATTTCTTCTCTTAACAAACTATAAATGTTTTGGAAAAGAAATTCAATTTACTAAAACAAATATCCATATCCATTTAATAAAAATGTAGTTCGTCAAATGCACTCGTCAACGTGCCAAGATTCAATTTCATTTCTACTAAAAAAATAGAATAAAATACAAGTGAAAAGCAATGAAAATAAGTGTTCATTTATATAGCGCTATATAAATAACCGAAAAAGAGAAAATGATATGTGAAAAGAAACAATAAGAATATCTAACAAAGCATTTAACGCAATATACGAAAACGGTTTCTCCCACTCTAAATGTGTGTGCGTGTGTAAGTGTGTTTGTGTAAGAGTGTGTGTATGCGTTAGTCAAGTGTAAATCCGCGCACACAACACCGAAATAAAATTATATAAAATAAAATACGAACAGAGAGGCAACGAAAAAAAGAATCACACTCTTACAACAAGGATATGTGCGCTTAAAAGAAAAGGATTTTTACTGCTATAGCTGGCCGCCAAAGTCAAAGGACAGCTCACACTTCCGAAAACAAAAACAGCAAGCAAAATCTGAGGATTATTATCAACAACGGCAGCACAACAACAATAATAACGAGTGAGCCGCCACCAGTCATAAAAGCAGCGGCCCCGTCAACATGCACACATATATATGTAAGGATATACACACATACCCACATATATATGTATGTATGTAATTTTTACAAGGTAAATCAAGCAGAAAGCACACCAGCACGTCCATGCAGCTTAAGTTGTCAATTTAAAAACAATGTCCAAAAATAATACCATAAACATATTGGCAATGGGATTGAATACATTGCTGATGCGGAAAATATCTATTGTAGATACTTGTTACAATCTTTTAACGAAATGTTGAGTGTGTGAAGGAAGACTCTTGATTGCAGATGGATGGAAGCAGAGTTTTTTAAAATCCGGATTCCCACTAGACATCTAGAGTATTGTTGAATTTAGTAGTTTCGTTTTCTTTTTGGTTTTAATAGTTAGAAGGGACATTTATTGACTTTCTTAGGAACCGGAGTGGAGTACATTTCAAAATTCGTTACAGACGCCACTGAGTTACATTTCGTTTCTTATTGCAATTTTTGGAAACCTTCATAGCAATACAGATCAGATTCTAATCTATTTAAAAACTTCACATAAGTTTCTTTAATCTATTTTAAAACTTTACATAAGTTTCTTTAATTTATATAGAAGCTTATAAACTTTTATGACATCCAGCTTATCATGATCAGCCCCAATTTGCATGTAATATGTTTACAATCGAACTGGCTTAATCCGCTTCACAAGCAACAGCCTTACGAATTCTCGAAAATGTTGCTTAGAATATTAATTTGACTATTTATAGAGCTCTTTTTTACCCGCCATTTAAGTTGCTTGGCGCGTCCTCATGTATGTGCCTGGATAGACCAACAGCACCTATATACTATCCTCTATATACTAATAGCTACTTGCTCCGCTCCTTTGAATTAGTAGTCTTTATCTCTATTTTTCACTATCTTCTAGAAAAAAAATATGATTTTACTGTGCACTTTTCTCATCTTGTTTTAAAAGAAATATTTGCTATTTATTTCTATGCATTAACACACCACATTGCTTACATAATTTTTTCCCTCACCTGAACGTTAGGAACATTTTGTTTGGATTTATTAATATCTTTAATTCAAAAAGTATTTACTAAGCATTTTCCACTTAACTTTAAGTCAAATCAATTTTATTTTGTTCCGCTTACTTGCCTGCCGTTTTCCTTTAAAGACATGCTGATCTTACGAGCACTCCAATATTTTTAAAATACATATGTATTTAGAATTGTTAAGTAAAATGTAGTTTATTTTATAATTTTCGTTGAATATACCTTTTAAAGGTGACACAAATTTAGAGTTTAATGCAGCACTTTCACAAACATATCAACTCTCTGCGGTGCTTCAACCTATTTTGGTGTGCTTCGAGTACTTACATTTTAAATAGAGCTGCCTGTAATTCCAAACTAGACCAGGGCTTCTAGTATTTGTATAATGCTACAGCCGCACTATTTCAATGTAATTACAATAATTACAACAGATTTCCACATTGCTTCGATATTCAAAAAACAGTGAACTTTAGTGGAGACACATTTCAATATAAAGCAGTGAACCATAGTTTTAAAATATAATATATATAGGTGCATTTCGAACTGTAATTTTGAATTTAATTGAACTTTGGGTATTTCAAAGTTTGTATGTATAAATATATATACATTATAGAAAAAATTAAAACAATAGATAGACTGTAGAGGGAAAGATTGTTCTGTGTAATCAACTGCTTTGTCCTATCAATGTGACTTATTAATATTGTGCCTTGCTGAAACATTTTTGCATCCAAATTTTCCTTAATACAAGTATTTGTTTAAGCACTGGTGTTCAAATTCTTGGTTTTTGTAGAATCATTAATTTTTTGTTTAGCTTATATAACTTCTTGGGCACTTTGTTATTTCCCCACAGACTTCTCTCTTCTTGAATCTGTTTGTAGAGGCTGGGCAATATCTTAATGCGTCTGAAGCATGAAAACAATTTGTAAAAGTCAAAATGTTGCGATAAATTAGCTCAGCTCATAAGCTTTCAGCGCCACAACAAATGCCTTCCGAGGATCCGGTTAGCTATCGCACTCCAAATACACTCTCTGACCTTGTTAACGTCCGAACAGCCCGAACAGAAATGATAAAAACAGAACTGACCGCCAGCCATAGCTTTTAGATTCATATCTTTAGCCCAAGGGGTTTAGTTATTATTGTTGTTGTTTTTTATTCTTCTGAATATAAATGAAGTGTAATTAACCCATATGCTTGAAACGAGGGTTGCATGTTAAGCGATGAATATATTTCAACATTTAACTAATTCAATTTTTTGCTAACCCTTTTTCGTGGCAATCCAATCCAGCATTGTTAGCCATAAAATTTGTCGTTAAAGCTTTAAATGCTATTCATGGCTTAGGACAGAAGTTTCAAACAAACCTTACTTTACTCTAGCTATACACTTTTATGCCGAACAGCTTTAAATTGGCTTTTGAAGCATTTCATATATGATAGTCAATTACTAAGGAGGTCAAGACATTATGAAATTAATTTAAACAAGATGAATAACTTTCAAGGTAAAAGCAGCTCTCAAACACTTTTCGATTGCTACTTACTTACTAAACAGATAACAATAAGTTCAAAGTAAGTGCGACACCATTAAGTTAGCAAAAACAAGAACAAGCAAAAAGGCAAATGGACTCAGGTGTTGTTGCTGCCCCAAAAGAATAAAAGAGACAAGGACAAGGGACGACAAGTCTCCAAATCGATGAAGGTTTATGCTTATTGCCTATACGGCACATGGTACTGCAGGACAATACAAGTACAATAACGTCACAAGGCTCTCCATTTTCCGTCTGATGAGCCGCCTGTGTCAAAATCATATTAATCATATTTCGAAATGATTTTTATTCTTGCCTTTTTATGAGTACTTTGTTTGCTTGTTTGTTTGCCAGACAAGACGTTCAGGCATCCGACTATTGATTTCGAAGAAGGCCTACGTATATATGTATAAAAACAAATATATATATATATGTACATATATGTATATTTCTATTATACATACAGCTATACTTTGCTTGTTACCTGCCTTTGGCTAAAAATAGGAAGCACAGCTGTTTATTTCGCAAGAAATGCATAAATTAGCGCAAATAATATTGCAACTTTCTTTTATTCTTTTTTCTTCTCCCTTTTGTTTTCTTTTTCTACTATTTCATTTTATATTGTCTAGTTTGGCAACAAATGGCCGAGAGTCAGACAGCATAACGACTGTTTTGAATATTTTAACGCGGCATAATTAGCAGGCTGGTGCTTGTTTGCCTTAACCCTTCGACGACCCATTTTGCCGACGGCTACTTTAAGCCTGACACGAATTTCCTTTTACGGCATCTGCCTGAGAAGAACAGAGTAAATTAATCTTTTTTATACTGGATTGGGAACTATTTGCTAAAGCAACTTTTCGCAGATGTTTCTTAAGCTAAAGATGGGCACAGGCTGGCAGGATTGACTCACGTACATCGTTTTAGCACCCAGAACAGCAATTAAAGGTTTACAATAATGTCTTTTTCTTTTTAAGCAACAAACGTTTTTTTTTCTACTTTTTTCTACTTAATTATATACAGCAGTCACAAATCGCATTATACTCTTAAAAAGCTAAAAAAAAAAACATTTAACTGCCGCGTTCTATGGCTTTTATTCGATAAATTGTGGTTCATTAAAAAAAATAGTCATTTGCAAAAATATATTATTTAAATGTTCAGAGCACAATTCTTAAATCCCAACTGTACTAGAATTAGTATGTACACAGGATCTCTGGCAGCCCAATCAACTGTTTTCCCGATCTCGCTCCAGTCAGTCTCTTTCGAGTGATTTCGCCTTCGTCACCATGAATATCTTGCCAAATCAAATTGCCATAATTTCGAATATAAACTTCCTATGAGTAATGTAATTCGCTTTTTGTACTTCTCTTTTATTTAAAATATATTAATTATCTCTTTCATTGAAACATTTAAAAATTTCAACAAATTCAAAGTCCTCAAAAATACATATTTTGTATTTTATTAGTTAAGTCATTTGTCATAAGGTAATCCGGTTTGTGTGTATTGTCTTAATCGATTATTCAAAACATATCTTCGGAGCAGGGGAATTAGCTTGCTCCTATTATTGGCAGCAAATCTTTTTCTGACTAATTAAATGATTTGGTATTTTTGAGTAACCGTAAAATGAAATCATAGAATGAAACAAGATTATTCCTTTAATTCACAATTAATCCTTCTTCTAACTTATCATCAATATTTTCTAATCAATTACACTACTTTATCTAACTTTCTAGTTGATCAATATTCGTAAATCTTATTAATACAAACATAAAAATTTGAGCACCTCAAAACCATATACTATATACCTATCAACAAATCATTCAATTAAAATTCTTAGTATCTTTAAGTATCAATCTTTAAATCCCAGACACCCAATTCTCGTTAAGCTTTGTAAATTTAATTCTTTCTACAAATGTTTATATTAATCCAAAACAATATTTTCCAAAATTGTAGTTTTCCAAATGACACAATATATTTGCAAACATTATGATTTGGTAAACTTCCATCTCTAGAAAAACAAATCTTATACTTACTGTAATTAAGCCGCGCATTTTCGTCGAGTGTCGCGCCTTATTTGCGCTGTGCTTGAAAATGAACGCGCACTCGTGCTGAGGAATCAGGTTAAGGTTTCTTTCTATAGTTTATGAACTCGTTATTTTCCACATTGGTATAAAAAAGACGAGCATAATAGCAGCAATTAGCTCATTCGGATGTTTTGAGACGGAGGGGCTTAATTTTAAAACGTTCAGCGAGCTCCTTAAGTACACACAAAGTGCAGTTTGAGAATTCTAGGCCGCCCTGATTGTCCACCTGCTGCATGCTGGCTATTTCCTTATCGCCCGGCACTAGCGGCATTTGTCGCTGATCGCAGGGCAAGTCCCGGCGCAGTAGCTGATGAAAGTCCCTCAAGCGATCCTCGAAGGAAGCACAAAATTGTAGGGGATCAATGGCCACATAGACCTGCCCCAGATTTGCGGGCGCATTTTCCGGGCTGAAGAGGCCCCGACGTCGCAATTGGGTGGCATATTGGGCGCCGGTCAGCACCCCGCACAGAATGTCCACCATGCCGGCCAATCCGAAGCCCTTGTACTCAGGTTTGAAGGCACGCAGTCTCTGGGCTCGCAAAGCCTCCACCACACGGCCAGTGGGTCGACCATTGCAGTCAAGTGCCAGGGTCGTTGGCATATTTCGTACCCTTCCATTGCAATAATCCAATTCAAATTGCTCGATGGGAAAGGAGGACATGCCCATATCCATTAAAAACTGTTCGTCGGCCCCAGCAGCTGCACAGGCAATGGGGTTCTCCCCCAGTACCGGTTCTTTGCCACCACAGGCCACCAGAACGGGTGGTGCATTCGACATACAGATTCCAATCATGCGTTGCGTTAGCGCCTGACATGCATACCAACCTGCCATGCCGATGCAATTGGAACGACGTGCCGAGACCCAAGCAAATCCGACCACTCGAGCCTTGCGCACGGCCAGATCCATGCAGTAATTAGCCACCACTGGTCCAGGCGCATTGCGTCCATCGACCAGAGCCAAGGCCTCTCGTTCCTGAAGCACCAGTGGCTGGGCACGTGCATCTACAGTGCAATTAAGCAAATCTGCAGCCACTGCGGGCAGACGATGTATTCCCATGCTCCGATGACCAAAATAATCGGCTGCTATTAATACATCGGCCATCTCACTGGCCGCCTCTGGGGGCACTTCCATCGCAGCGAAGACGTCCCGAACAAAACGTTGTGCCTCCATAACATCGACTAAGGCAGCCTGTAATAAAATGTTGTAATTCTTTTAAATAGCATAATTAAGGCACATGTACGTGTAAAATATAGAAACTATTAACATATATTTAAGAAAATTAAAGAAAACCAAATGCGTAGGATTTGCATAGGAAATATCTAATAGTGTTAAGATCTGATGTTTAGACATCTGATGTGTAGATATCTAATCGTGTTTACACCTGATGAGTAGATATTTGGTGTGTAATTTGAAGGTGTATATACATATTTGTTGTATAGACATCGATTGTGTAGGCATCTGATGTCTATGCATCTGATGTGTGAACATCTGATGTATGGGCAGCTGACGCAAAGCGCTTTGCCGCAGCGCCATACTTGTATGCCAGCAGCTGATGATGTATGACAACAAAAAGTAGTGCTAGAGCATAAATACTGGGCTCCTTAGAAAACAGCCTTGATGTTTCACAAATTAAAGATATCTTTTGTTTATTTAATTCAGAATTTTCCAAAATCGTGCCCAAGTTAAAGTAGCGCAATACAATTCTACCCAATCAATACAAGTTGTTGAAGCTAGGACTAACATCTTAAATCCAAACATCTGACATCCTTCCGTGAAGTTTTTTACAAGTTGTTAAGCGCTCTTCACCTCTAAATTAGTTACTGTATAGAATTCTTACCTTTACGCCGGCTTTTGCTAACTCCCCTGCTGACTCCAGTGGCTCACGCTGACCGCCACATATTAGCAGCACACGCTTTATATTTTGCCAGAGAGATGCCAATTGTGGTTGCTCAGCGGGCGGAACTTCTTTCTGCGCCCATCCTTCTTGAACAGTAGTACAAATAGTTTCGCCTTCTACCTTTCGTTCAACCATAGGTAATTCTTTGTCCATATAGCTGCGATGTTTGGGCAAGCCGGATACATGCAGAGCATTCTTCATAGTATCGGCCAAATTCACTTCATCGCCTGAAAAGCTCTTATCATTTTTCTTAGCTTCTATGGAATGCTGATCCGTGCCCTTTGAACATTGTTCGCCAGAAGGGGGCTGATGGCAAGCTAACCAGTCGCTTTGGCATCCCTGATTCGAATTGCTGAGCTTTATACGTATCTTCCTGAGGGCGTCGAGAAAATCATAGACTTTACGCATTTTAAGTAAATAGAATAATTATGTACGAGTCCATGTGTATTCGTATACATGTCTAAATAAAACACAGTTTTCGATGCTAATTTGAAATATTAACTGATTTTAACTGTCAATAAGTTCCTTTGGAAATCAAAACTAGGTAGTAGAGACTTATTTAATTTAACGTTAAAACTAAATTCCAACAAAAGCAAACGTTATTAAGAAAAACATATTTTTTATTAAACAATTAAACAAAAAAAATAATTTTCTAGTTTTAAAAGTGGTACTAACTTCACATAAATGTAGTTATATAATAATTCATACTATAATTCAACTTTTCAACTAAGGTGTAGTGTGTGTTTGTACCACAAATTATCAAATCATTTGTGGAATTCCTTTTTATAGAAATTTAACTTGACTAATTTTGAAATATATCGAAAAATAGAGACCTGACCAGAATATCATGTTTTGTAAATCTTGACAAACAATATAACTCATTTTACATGATCATGGATTATTAATGATTTACGATAGTTTAAGAATATTATATTAACTTTCTTTACTTGTGTTAAGTCGGCTATCTATATCTCACAAAACCTAAAAATATGATCTTAATGCGGGGCAGCAAACAAAATAGCTTAATGTTTCATAAATGACGTATTTGAAATTATTATTCATACAGTCATCGGAATTAAATTGGAAATCGAGAAATTCAGAAATTCAATTGATTTGTAGTATAAAAGCTTAAAATAAATTCAATTCAATAAATATTTCCTATCAAGTATATAAAATATGTATAAGTTTAACCTTAATAAAAGTACCTCCAAACATTTGCATAACATAACTACATATATATATGTATATATAAAATTTAACAAATATTTGTATGTGTTCTTTTTTTTTATTTTTTCCAGTTGCCGCTTTTGAAGGATAGCAACAGAGCAAAAGCGAAGCACAATGAATGGCAATCGGTTGACAGCCCATCGAGGTCAAATGGATCGCTCAAGGCGTGCTCCAACTAATTTTTTTGCACTGCTTCTGGCTCAGAGAAATTAGCAGCACAGTTATTATAAATTGTCAATTAGAGAGAACGCAACAATAACTGCAGCAACAACAACAACAACTATATCGGCATTGCCAAATACAAGACAAGGCGAAGCAAAAAGCATTGACGATGAAGCAATGCCAGCTTTTTGTGTTCTCAGTCGCGCTCATAAGCAGTCTCAGCTGCTTAGAAGGCTCCACAATGGATATTTACAAGAGCGCCCGTCTAGGACATCGCATTGTACAGACCCGATATGGTCGCTTGCATGGTCTCATTCTGCCCCTGGATAACTTTCGGTTTTTGCGGTCAGTCGAAGTGTTTCTTGGTGTGCCATATGCGACACCACCCACGAAACAAAATCGGTGCGTATTAAAAGCCTTTTATTCAAGCCTTTGTATTCAACAACAAAAATATAAAATTGGAAAAGCATTCCTAGAAATCGGACAGCCGTTCCTTACTTATACGTTAAATGAAATTAGGATTACAAATTTAAGTTTTCCAAAACATGTTTTTCTACATTTTCCAATAAATTCTTTTAATTTAGTTTCAATTAGTGCTACTGCTGTCTAAATTTTACATTTTTAAACTGAATCAATGATATTACATGGAGTTGCAATATACTCATGAGATTGAAGAACTACAAAATAAAAGAGCCAAAATGATTTGAAAACAACATTCCCTTCTAAAAATCTAGTAAAAGGAACTCATGTTATAGTTACCTCTAAAGACAGTCATATTAACGATTTTAATCATAAAATTTGAAATGAATTTAAATGTAATTCCTATTAATGGTCAAAGAGCTTTCTGTTCAGTCCTGTAGATAAAAGGAGTTTAAATTCGAAAAAAAGCTAAAACTTCTGATAAAATAATAACAATTGTTTCTCATCGTAATCCAATTGTTACGAGATAAAATGGTAATACTATTAACAAATAAACCTACAGAATGAAATCGTTTAAATATACGTGATACAGTGATATAGCTCTATGGGCTCCTATTAGTGGACTTTAACCAACTACTATAAGTAAGTGACATGCGAGATTAGAATGGGTAGACAATTGCATCAATATTTTATGAATAATTGAATATCCTAAAAACTGCAAACATATATGTTTGAATAAAATCTCATAATAATCTTACTGCTACGAATACTTTTAATTAATTTAAATATTTCAAGCAATGCAACAATAGTCAGCTTTTAAGTTACGCCTAAATAAGAGTAAAATAATTGACCTTTTTTTTGAATTTTGCAACAGTTCTAATGATTTTAGGATTCCTGGAATCTAAAATATTGCAAACTATTTAAATTTGAGCAACAGCAATTCATATAATAGAGCACAGTATTCGATTGTATTTCAATCTATTATAGGTATATATAATTTTAAATTTTTCCAAACCATAGTTTGTTTGCAAATACGAAATAAGTCCTAGTGAGAGCAGGGAGAACAGATCGAGAGTTTTAAATACCCGACGAACCCAATATTTATAATAAGAATGGAGACAAAGACTGAGGATAGGCCGGCTGGTATTTTTTGCTGAAGAGAAATGATTGCCAAATCAAATTCCATTCATTCTAGTATACATTTTTATTTCGGCAATAACTGAACTTTCTTAAAATTAAGCTCTAAAGGTGTTTTAAATGTTGTCCCTAAATTCACAATTAATTATTTTCTGTAGCAACCGTTTCTACTAAGCCTTAACTAAGTAGTTGATATTTAATAAAAATAATAATTTGTGCTGTTCTTATTTTCGATTACAGCTTCAGTCCAACACGTGCACCTGCCCCCTGGGATGGCATACGGATCTCTGATAAGTACAGTCCTGTGTGTCCGCAACGATTGCCCAATATACAGAATGAAACGGCGGCTCTAGAGAAAATGCCCAAAGGCCGTTTGGAGTATTTAAAAAGACTGTTGCCGTTTTTGGAGAATCAATCAGAGGACTGCTTATATTTGAATATCTTTTCGCCAGTAAATGGTGAGCATTAATCAAATCTACACAAAGATTACGAATATAATGTCACACAAAAATAACTGACCAAGTGGGAAGCATCAAAATTGTATAATTCAATTTAGAACATTTTGACCAGAAAAATATACAGCCAGTGGCCACTCTAGAAATTAAACTATAAATAGCAATACTAACTAGCATCGCTAAAAGGCAAAATTATGCTACGGGGAATTCATTAAAGAAAATCTTTATTGAATTAGCGGGACTTCTAAGAAGCCTTTTAACAATTTCTTTATTAATTTTTAAATGTTTCTGAAAATAAAGTATGTACATAAAACATATAAACCTGCCCACATTTACATTTAAATTTAAGTTTATTTAACTTCTAATTTGTGTTCTCCCGCTGCATATATTTTTCCCTTTTTCTTTATTTTTTGAGCGAATATAATTCTCCCATTAAGTCACATTTAAGTTCTGTGTTGTATTGTTTTTCAACACAGCTGTGTTAATGTGAGAGATTAATTAATAATAAATGTTATATCCTTCCAATTGCTCCCCGAAATGGTAAAAAGAAAATTCCAATTCGTACTTGGAGTTTGTATTCAAAAATGTAAAAAGTGAACATAGTACAATTATTTGCTTGCTACTTTTTATTGCCACTCAGACCCTCGAGCTTGGCCAAAGTGCTCGTTCTTATGCTGTGCATAAATCTTATTTAAATTCAATTAATTAAGATTAATCATGCGACACGTAATGCCAATAATTTTTACTTAAAACAAAGCACACGGCACCAAGCAGAGGGCAAATCTTATCTTAAGTACCCAGAGCTGCGACCGCTTTCCCCAATAGAAATGCGGGGGGCGGGAATATAAGAAAAATAAATTTATATTTACCTTCATACATACATATATACCAATATATTTACACTATCTGCGCAATGCTAATCTAAAGCAATTTCTATGCTGCATGGCGTACGTCGCGTGTGTGTGGGTTCAGGAGTCCAGAGGAGGGTGTGGCCATTGGGGGGTAGGAGGGTTTGCACAAATCAAAATCCGCTTTGCACGCGAACGGAAACATTTAATGGCGCTTAAGCATTTTAGCAACTCGAGTCAAGGACTGAAAAAATACGACAACAACAACAGAAAATAATAATAAAAGTTGGGAAATGGTGGCCGACTTTGGCGACACCATGAATTTCATTTTGAATTCGCCTCTCATTTTTTATGCTCTTCATATTCTTTTTTTCTTGACTCTTAGCCGGCGCCAATGAAAAGAAACTGCCCGTAATTGTGTTCATACACGGCGAGTCCTTTGAGTGGAGCAGCGGTAATCCCTACGATGGCAGCGTGCTCGCCAGCTATGGCGAGGTGGTGGTCGTAACGCTTAATTACCGCCTCGGCATTCTTGGTAAGTAGAAGTGCAGTATAATTTGCCTTCATTGGGCTTAACATTTCGCTCAACAGGCTTCCTCAATGCCAATCCTAGTCCGCACGCGCACGCACGCGTCGCCAATTATGCCCTAATGGATCAAATGGCTGCCCTACACTGGATACAGCAGAATATACAAAAGTTTGGTGGGGATCCAAATGCGGTTACACTCGCCGGCCATGGAACAGGCGCTGCCTGCATTAATTATCTGATGACATCGCCCACCATGGTGCGGGGACTGTTCCATCGTGCCATTCTCATGTCTGGATCGGCGTACTCCTCTTGGGCACTCGTCGAGGATCCGGTGCTCTTTGCCATCAAACTGGCCAAGGAAGTTAATTGTACGATACCCGAGGACTTGAATAAGCATCATGAACAAATTGTCGACTGTTTGCGTGATGTGCCGCTCGAGGATTTATATGGGGCGGATATACAGGCGCCAAATTTCCTAACCTCTTTTGGACCATCGGTATGGCGGCTTATTATTTTTTCCACTTTTCCACATTTGATTTTCAATTTTCCTCAGCAATTGCACAGCTTTTTTATTAATATATTACTTGTCAACATTTATCAAAATATTGAATTTATACTCTTTTGAGTAAGTGGATGGTCATTAATAATATGACAAGCCCCATAAGGCACTCCCATCTAGCTGTCCATATGTTCGAGCATCTAAACGCCCAGATTTCGGATGGCATTGATGTTAAAAGCGTCAAATTTTTATAATGACCTCTACGAATATTTACAAATGTGAAGTTGGTTTTTCTTAAATGAAATATTTCCAAAACATTTTAAAATGCTTTATTATTACTTCTGAACTTAATGTATATAATCAGTGAATATATTTGCTCTCCCGTATTAATACTCCCCAAGTCCATGCGTCTATAACTAAGGATTGATGTATTTATATACAATTTTAAATGGCTATATGAGCTTATTCTTACTTTAATGTAGAGCAGGGATATCTACCAAGTTTGTGTCGCTTAACATACCATTTCTATGATAAGCTCAAAAATCCTCCCCTAAATTACGACCCTTCCATGGTAGCTCCAGATAAGCTAATAGAGACTTGCCTGTCAATTCGAGTTCAAATTTTTAAACAACCTTAGTAATCTTTATAACATATAAACTTCCCTAATTATGTTATGAATAATACAAAATCCGATTCTTAAAAATGTTCGATAAGAAAATAGAGATTTAAGAGGCTTAAATTAGGGAACAATTTAGGGAACAAATTGCGACTTAGCGAATTTTTAGGAGCACCCTAAATATAATTCAATACACGTCAAGATTCTTGTTAAATGAAAGCTATGTTCAACCATGCAGCTCTGACTTTTTTATGGCAAACATAAATAATGTTTCGATTTAGACTTACCTTTCATAAATTTACACATATCACCACTTTTGAAGTTAGACCGCACCAATTTCTTGAGCCACCCTCGCAGCTTATAAATATTGCTACGGGCCAAGTCATAACAATTGAGAGATAAAAATATACAGAAAAATGAGAAAGCGAATCCAAAATAGAAGCGATCCACTCACAAAGGCATTGACTTCAAACTCATGTGCGCTTATCGTAGAATTTCATTTTTGCCAATTTTCATTATTTCTTTGCCCGAATCCTCCAACAATTTCTGTTGTCTTTCGCTCGTTTGCAGTGGCGTTTGTGTTTTGTTTTCGTTGCTGTTGTTCCTCTTCAATTTTATGTCTTACGCTTTTCCCTTTTGCATTCTCTCACGATGTCTTTGGGTTATTTTGTTGCGCTCTACGCTTCAACTGGCTTTATTACTTACTTTCGTTGCCTCTTTGTATACTATTTCAACTACATACATATAAGTACAACCTACTATGTGCTTCAATGTGGCCGGTGTCAGTCGCACAATATTTGCAGTACATAGTATGCTTCTGAACCACCACCTCGTACCACCTACTAACCAACTTTCTTATACACAACGAACCACCCACAACTCACTCACTTTCTTTCATTTTCATTCTTGGTGCCTTTTCAATTTAGGTTGATGGCGTTGTCATACGACCCGGACATTCCAATCTCGATATCGATGATTTAATGACGCGCAACTCGAAGCGTTCATCAGCCGATGGCGGTGGCAACATGGGCGGTTCCAATGGCAACAGTGGCGGTGGCTCCGGCAGCTCAACTTTTAGCAGCAATGCTGGCTACTTTGGAGGCGCTGCCGCTGCAGCGGGCATTGGCGGACACTACGATGTACTCTTTGGGGTTGTGACTGGCGAATCGATTTGGCGTTTCAGCGCCCACGATATACAGAATGGATTCGAGGGCGAGCGTCGCGATAAAATTATACGTACTTATGTGCGCAACGCTTACAATTACCACCTCAATGAGATTTTCTACACGGTAAGTAAGATATACCCTCACAATAAATGTCAGTGGACGTACTCGTAAATGAATTTCAGACTGCACTTTGCGGTCAACGTTCTCCCTATCTTTGTACCTTTTTTTAATGTTGTCTGGCAGACGCGCATAAATCTTTTAATCAGATTGGCGTATCCCGCGATGGGGCAGCTAAATGTATTGAATGCTTTTAACGATGGCACTGACGTTATATATTTAACTATCACTTAAAACGCAATTAGATAGATTTTCGTTTTTATGCTCAGTAGCAATAAAGTGTAATACAAATCATTTCTTAAGCTGAAAAAAGAATAACATATTCTTCAATTTACAAAAAAAAATCTATAAAACCGCATTTACAATTATTTATTAACCTTTTAATAAATAAACTGAATGACAAGTCGACTTACCTATAGAAACTTAAAGTTCGTTTTAAAAAGCAGGCAATGTTTGTGGCAAGATAGTAGTCGGTATCATATCTGATTGCCTACTAAAGTCGAACCCATTTGTTTCATAATTATAGTCGGCTACATGTGGTATACGAGTATATGTAAATATGGAAAGAAACATAAGAAAGTAGCTCTTTTTGTTTATAATTTATCAATTAATTTAAAACTTATATTAATATTTAATCTTCAATTCCTCTTAGTAAAAGGCCCCAATAATGCTTTTGCAAGTTAATATTAAAACATACAGCTTCATAAATCAACAAATTTATAAATTCAACACAAGAATTTGAAACTTTTGTTAAACTACAAAATTACTTCAAGAAGTTGGTTGTTAAATAAATTTCGTAGATACAGTTTTCTTCTACATTTCAACATAAGAAAACTCACAACAAACTGTCTGTGATGTTTCAAACCAAGCAGCCAGAACGTTGGAACTCTCTTTAAAGTGTCTGTGAATGCTGTTTTATTTAAACAATGGCAACTACAACTAACATTTAAATTTCAGTAAATTAGCTGAATAGTGAATGCTCTTGGCATATTTAACATTTTCGTTTCTGACACTTCATAGCAAATAGTTTTTGCAGTGCTACTGAAATGCGACTGTTATTGTCCTTGCTGTCAGTTGTGCTCGTTCTGCTATTGTTGTTCTTTAGCAAATTGTAAGCACAATTTGGACAAAAGCAAAACATGCACGCGTACATAAATTACTGCAAACAAACACTTCAAGAAGCGTAGCAACGATGAGAAAAATACAAAAAAAAAAAAAATAAAAGAACAAGGAAAAACAAAACAGCAGAGGCAGCAACATGGTACAAAAACAAAAAAAGAAAAAGTCAATTAAAATGTTGGCGTACGCCGCGTATGCGTATTATAATTACACGCTGCGTATGAGTAACATTTGCGTGCATTTTCATTTCGTGTTTCGCTTACCCCGGTCTTTTTTTTGTGTTGCAACTTTTCAACATTTTATGTTTGTATTTATTTTATGTGCTGTTTTTATTTTTAATGCGCAAGCGAGCGAAATGGAAGGCAGTTAACACGCCATTGCTGCCAAAACATTAACACGCTTTATTTGGCAAATGTGCGCGCGTCCCTCTGTCTGTCTCTCTGTCTATCTGTCTGCCTGTCTGCCTGTGTGGCAAGGCCACATTCATATATATGCACACACACATCTACTTAAAAACGCACAAGCAGCACTTAACCCAAATCACAGTAACAGAAAGCAGAAAGCAGTAGCGGTAGCTGCAGCAGCAACAGTCAACAACCACCAGTCAGCAGTCAGCAGTTAGCAGTGAGGCTACCGTTGTCACCATTTTCCACATCGAAACTGCGTGAGTGGGTGAATGGGTGGGTGGTTGGTTGATTGCTGGGTGTTAAGTGCATGGACACACACGCATAAAGTAAGAAGCAAGTAAATTGCCAACACATATATCACGATTATAACGCACACACTTATATTTATTTTACTTCATTATCTGCTCTTCAAAAAGACAGCGGCTACTTAAACGCTGTCATATAATTTGAAAATGTATAGGGTTTTATAGATATAACGGCCATTACCAGTAAAATAACCTTTACAAAGTACAAATTTCTTAGACTTTAAATTAGGGGCGCACTTTCAATCATCAGCTTCAAAAACATTTTGAATTTTCAACCAAATTTCTTGTAATAGAAAATGGAACCGCTGCCATTCACTTTAATTCAGGCAGAAAATCGGAAACTAATATGAAATTTTTCTTTAATGCTAAATGATTATACTACTTGTAATTCCTATGCAAAATGAAAACTTTTGTGCCGTTGTTTAGCATCGATAAATACAAAATATATTATAAAATCACGAAAATGGTTCAATAAATGAATTTATAAAAAATCATACATACTGTTTAGTCACATTTACTTTCCTTATTATTTGTTTAATTAAGCTTTTTCATTTTTACTTAACTCCTTTTTCAATACCATGATTTTTATTACTAAAGATAATTTTTGATTATTTATATTAATTGTTTGTTTTATTTGATTAACATTGTGTTTTGTATACTTTTTTTTTCAGAAAGAACACTAAAATAGTAGTTCAAATGATTTAAGTAAGTATCACATAATAAACCATAATTTAAATTTAAAGTTGACAAAAACTTTTATGAACATGTTTTAAACTTATTATATTATGCTTTATTATTCATTGTAGTCATTTCTTTAGCTTACATTTGTATTTAAATCTGAAAGCAAAGTATTAAAACAAAAAAAAACAAAAAAATCTTGATTAAAATATGTGTCAAAATATTTGACCAGCAATCGTTTAATTTTAAAACTTGAATTTTAAAGAAATTATGTCCAATAGAAAATAAGAAATGTGGCTTAAGAGCTTTCTTAAAATTCAATTGTGTTTGAGCATTTTTCTTGAATATTTTTAAAGCCAATCACCGAGCACTTAAAGTCCATTTAAAAGGCAGTGTGTAAAAGCCCAGCATCGACTAAACTAAAATTTACATGTACTCGTACCTTAGTATTTCTCGCTGTATGACAAATCCTGCATCGAAGTTATAGTACATGACATGCATATTTTTGGTTCTGAATTATGCATGACATCGATTTTACAGATGCATTTTGCAAAAAAAAATAACGAACCAAAAAAATATCTCGCACAAAACAACAACTATAAAAATCCTCTTGTAATCCTGGCAGGATTTGGCATGCATGAATATGTGTGTACTATATGAATATAGCATATATCTGCTCTCTATGAGTCAACAGTGGCAAATACATTAACGATACTGTGGCTCGGACTACACCACAAACCAGGGTTTTGTTTATTGACTAACAAATTTAAGGGGGCAGTGTGTCATAGGAATTTTATGAGTGTGCAGAAAGCACAGCTAAATGCAATTTGAACGAAATAAAACCATTTTGTGGTGCACTTATTTGTTGAGGGATTATTCCTGAAATGTGTTACACCAAACGTTATAAACAAAAATTAATTATCAGTGGATGACTAAGCCATGTTCGTTCCTCTGAAAATTAATTTATAAAGAGTATTCTGACTTTATTGAAATTTCAGATACCAGTCTATATTGGTTTTATAATAATTGTGCTTTTTTAATAACTTGCATAATTATTTCCCATTGCATTTCCAGATTGTCAACGAATACACGGACTGGGATCGCACGTCCCAGCATCCGATTAATACGCGCGACACAGCCGTTGCCGCACTCTCCGATGCACAATTTGTGGCACCCATTGTACGCACTGGCGATATTCTGGCCGCCCTCTCCCCGCCCCCCATTAGTAGTCAGCAAGGTGGTCAGACAAGTGGTGGTGGTGGCGGCACAGCTTCGGCCTCGGCCTCTACCTCAGCATCCACACAGCCATCGGGTCGCTGCTATTTCTATGTGTTCGACTATCAGACCAAGGATGGCGACTATCCACAACGCATGGGCACTGTGCATGGCGAAGATCTGCCCTATATATTCGGTGCGCCACTGGTCGATGGCTTCAGCCACTTTCCGCAGAACTATACCAAGTCGGAGACAGCCCTGTCCGAAGCAGTGATGATATTCTGGACAAACTTTGCAAGGACTGGGTAAGCGAAACAATTTAAGTGTGGGTTTTAAGATGAGAAAACTTTAAAACACATCTCCAAATACACCTCACAAAACCCACATAGCCCTTTTATGCTTAAATTTCTATTGCTCTTAAGGTTTCAAAATTTACAAAATAACAAACAGTATTTATTATTCACAAGTTATGGTTATTAAAAAGGGGAAATATTTCTAAACGTACAAAATGTAAAAGCTGCTTAATATCCATTTGGATTTGACATACATGTAAAGCAAAATTTAAGCCGCTTTCGTGCTAAATATTGTTTTGTTTATTTGTGGTGATCCTGTTGCCTACAAGAGAAATGGCTTTGCGGTTGTTTATTGACTTTTAAAGCATATTTGTAGAACGCGTTATAAGGTAAAAGTCTTTTATCCAACTCTTTTATCAACTGGAATTGCCTTTCCAAGCTGCTTGCATATGCAAATGTCTTAATGCACAGCAATTTCAAATAAAAATCATTTTCCATCTTCAAACAACTCTAGCACATCATCGATATTTATTGCTAATGGAGGTGGAAATCATTTTCGATATGTCAGTTCTTGTAATAATGATTAACATAATCAAGGACTCCTCAAATTTTTCAAATCTTCAACCAATTACTAAGCCATTAAAGCCTGAAAAGTGTTCAGTTTTATTGAATTCATTTCGCAAACACAGAAAAACGACGCCCTGTTTGAAAAATTCGTGAAGGGGTCACCATGATTTATGATTTCGGTTTCATTCACCGCCGTCAACTGTTGTTGTCGGCCACTCAGCAGGTGGCATTGTTCTTGTGCATGACCAAAATGCCTTTGCCTGTGAGCCACTCACATTAATTTGTTAGCAATGGCATTTTTCTGCTATTTTGCACACACACGGATTCACACACATACATACACATATACACGTATACACCAACTGGTACAACACACTTAACGCTGATTGTTTGCTGTTTATCCAAAAGTGAAAACTTTTTCTGTGAACTGCAGTCGAAAAGCGTCGCGCTTTCAACGGTCTTGCAACACCTGCTGTCTCTCAGTCCACCATTTCTGTCTGGCTGCTTGCCCATGCAGTGCCGTGTCTGTCTGCCATAAAGCAAACTAAAACTTGCCACTCCAACACCCACATGCACACACACAGTTAACAGACACACACACACACACACACACACACACATACTCGTAGGGAACACATTTTGAGCTCGTCTACTTAGAAATTCTTATTCCTCGTGCCTTTACAGTCGCTATAGAAATCGCTTTTCAACGCAATTTTAACCTCCTTCTTCTTTTTAGCAATCCGAACGAACATCACCGCCAGGACTCCGTGCTGCCAGTTTCAAAGGAACGTAATCGTTTTCGCAGCATCACCTGGGAAAATTATGATCCATTGCATCAAAAGTATTTGGAAATAGGTGAGGCAAGCAAAACTTTTTACACACATATACACACAGTTACATACATGTACTTACACTTATATATAGAAAACACGTTATGAAATACCGCAGCTGAGGTTTTTTACTATAACTGCATTGAAATCTGCACAGGCTTCTTTAGTTTAAAAACAAACCACACAAAAAAACAGAGTTTGTTTGCCAGTCATGTGGAAAATGGAAAATCAGCGCAAAATGAATGTGGCTTTTAGGTGTGAAATAGAACGTGCTGGCATCCAAACAAAACAAAACAAAACACATTTTAAAGGCTTCAACATTTAGTATCACATTCCAAAGCAAACTTTAACTATGCAGGTATTTCGCTTAAGTTAAAAGCTAATTATAGGCAGCAACAGAACAATAGCGAGCTGAAAAATTATGATAAATATATAAATATATTGTGCATTAATTGAAGGCTGTGGGGACATTATTGCATATCTTATTGGATAAAGTGTACAATAAAGTTAAAAGCTCTCCTTTAAGCAGTAAACGTTTCCTACACTATTCTCATTTGGATTAATGCTCAAAAAGCTTAAGACAGCTTATAATATATAAAGGCTCTGAATATTTTAAGCAAAATTTAATATTTCTGCATTATAAAAAGCTACGTGTGTTATTTATTTATTATTCCATTTCAATTATTCAAAAAAACAATCCCAAGTGGGAATGAAGATTAAATTTATTCTTAGAAACTGTATATTCCTTATCTTCAATATTTCTGCATTCTAAAAAGCTTCGAGTCCATTTATTATTCCATTTTAATTATTCAAAAAAACAATCCCAATTGGGAATAAAAAGTAAGTTATTCTGAGAAACTTTATATTATTTTTTTCAATATCTCTGAATTCTAAAAAACTACGAGTGCCATTTATTATTCCATTTCAAGTATTAAAAAAATTATAGATAGATAGAAAATAAATGGTAAAGAAAGAAAATGATTAGACAACAGTGTTTGCAACTACATATATTTTTACCCAAATTAAAAAAGGACGGACGAAATGGTAGATATTTATTTTACTAAGCTTAAGTTGCTAATAATTTCCATCACAGAAGATAAATTATTCATTTGTAATCGCCTTTTCCAGCATATTCACAGTACTTTTTTCGTATCCAAATACGAATATAAAATGCAATATTTAAATGCCACGATGTCATATAAAACAATATAAAAAGCGTATAGTATGTAAGTACAAAGGATATTTAATTATTAACTCAAACGAATATAGGATTGATTTGAAAGTACTCGTACATGCGCATAAAGACAACAATACTTGCATGTAGCTTTCAACTCAATTATAATCAAATGGAATATGAAATGCCTTTATCTGTGTGTGCAGGCGAATCGGCATTGACACACTTACAAATCCACGCAAATGCGTTTTTGAAGTGGCAACAAAGGCGGAGCCTAAACGCAAATGTTGCAAGCACTTAGGCACTGCATAATTCACGCAACAAAACAAACTTTTCCATGTTCAAAAGTTGAAAACTGCTTTTACATTTACATGCACGCACGCATTATGCGCGTATATGTGAGGGAGAAATCCTTTGTGCTCAATAAATTCGTTGCGTATTACTCGATTTCAACTTTGCAGCAAATCAAATCAGAACTCACACGTTATGCGTGCGCTATATGGTAGAAAGCCTTTGGCACGGTTCCTTTTGTGCAAAAATATTTCAATGCCTACGCCTCTCAGCTGCACACACAGACAGAGACAGACGCCCAGCACAACTCCTGATTATATAACACACTTATGTGAATATGAATATGCTGTTGGCGCGCTTTTCAGTCTCTGTGCGTAGACGGATGGGGGCAACCAATTCGCACTGCCTGTCTATCTGTCAGTCAATCTTTTTGCTTGGCTTCAATTAAAATCAAACAGAAATCAGAATGAACATACTATGCAAACATACCTATTTTCGATAACACTTTTCTGTGCCTATTTGAATGTGTTACGGTGAATCTTCTCAGTTAGAAAATCCGAAAATAATGACAATATTAATATGCGAAAATACAAAAGTTACAAAAACCTATTAATTTAATGAATTTAGGGAAAACGTTTAGTGTAAGTTGAGACAATTTAGTTTCACATTATTAGAAAAAAATCCATGCTTAAGAACTGAAATATTATTAGAATTATATATAAATTTAATTTGTAGAGCTGCTGAATAATTTTTAAGAATTTAAAAGGCATTCCTCATAGTAATACAAAAAGGAGCACAAGCCCTGCGAACGTCTGTCATTTATTTAATAGTTTTTTCTATATTAAAAATCTATTTAAAACAAAATATTGTTCCTACTTATGAACTCATTGCATTAGCTAATAAATTTTAAAAAATATTCAGGACATATTTCGAAGGTACACCCATTTTTACTGTTCCTTTAACAAGATTAAAATTTTGCGTTTTTAAACAATATTGGTCTATAAATAATAATTTATCAAGTTGTAAGTCTTATCTAATCTGTGCTATACAACAATAGTATTGCTTATAAATAAAATCTTCTCAAAATAAAGATGTGTTTAAATCACGAATAGAACGAATTAAGCAAAGTTTTATTACAAATTTTATTATTATTTATTTTATTTTTTATACAATTACTATTCTATTCGTCTTCTACTAAAATAAAAACTTGACTTATAAGTATGTATAATAAAATAAAAAAAAAAGAAGATAAGTAATAAACAGGCTTGGTAGTATGATGTGCCTATGTAAAAAAAAAAAATTGTATAAAACTTAATGCGTGCACATTTCTGTGTACATATCGATACTGATAATAAACAAATTTATGGCTTTGCGTAGCCGCCTTTCGCCCCCAATATTCGATTTGAACATGTACGCTCAAGCTATGAAGTTTCACTTTTGAATAGTTTATTTTATATACGGGTTGGATATCGAGGAGTTTGACTGTGACTGTGTATGCCTCCGATGCTTTTGTTGTGTCGGAATTGAAAAAATTTCTACACAATAGCCTGGCAGTCAGCAAAGGGGAATGTAAAAGGAGAAGAGTGGCTTTTAAAGTTGTGTAGGTGTTAAGCGTGTATCTGTCGAGAGCAACGCATGTGCAGCTGATTGTAATTGTTGTTGTTGTTATTGCTGCTGCCGCTGCCGCTGCTGCTGTTATTGTGTTGTTGGTGTCGCTCAGGCACAAAGGTGTGAAAAATTTGAAATTAATAACATTTGCGTACATTTGACATGAGGCACCACCAGCGTCAGGGTCGGCATTTTAACGCGCACATAAAGCTTTATGCGCCCGTCGTCATCGTCATTTGATGGCTGACACTCCCACTCCCTCTTCCACTTACATACATTGTATGTGCATGTATGAATGAGAGTGTGTGCGTATAAGCCGCGTATATATTGTATGTAACCTTCAACTGCCACTCGGCTGCGATGCTTGAAACCATTTTTTTTCTCGTTTTTTCGTTTTTTGTGTTCAGCCCATTCTGCAACCATGACACACCAGCAGCAGGAACTGCCCTCCCGCTTCCAACATGCAAAGCATGTGCACGCGCTACAGCTTTGCTTTCTTTAAAATTCAAATTAAATTTGATTTCTCTTTTCTTTTTTTTGAGCGTTCTACACATTTTGGCGGCTTTAAAGCAGCGCACTGAAAATTTGTTGCTGTTATTTGGCAATTTTGTGAGTTCCTTTTACGGCTCTCCTGCCACCATGCCACCATTTGGCAAATGGCCGTATACAATTTTGCAAGCTATATGTATGAGAATGTATATTGTAAAAGAATTTTTTTGTTGAGCACTTGCATATTAACAAGTTGTTTAACGTGTTCGCAGTACAAGAGTTTATGAATTGCTGGATTTTTTGCCCAATCGATAAGTGGTGGGCTCGTCAATTTTGCAGCTAAGGAAATTGGGTTTTGAAGCAGAATTGTATGGAAATCAGATGACCAATTCGGCTGTCGTCTAAAATATTTTCTATTGGCATTAAAAATTGAAGCACTCATAAAAGTACACAATTTTGTAGACCATAAGAAAGAGGCACTCAAATTTGATCTCATTCCGTATTTGCTGAAAGCATTTTTATGTAATTAGCTGTTTTATAATATATGTATATCTGTGTGTTTTCTATTAAATTGTTATTTATTAAAAATATAAATTTAATTTATTTTCTTGAAACAGAGTATTTGCAAAAAATAATTCAATCAGTGGAAAGCTTAAATTAAATTTAATATACACATACAAAAACAAATGATCAAAAATTGAAAACAAATGACGGCGAATATGCCAAACTATTTTACTACGCCAACTACTTTTACTTTCGAAAATAATAATAATCGTTAGAAACTATAAGAAGATTTAATATTTTTAAAAACAGACCCATCATGTAGGCAAAAATGTTTTTTATTGTGTATAGGTATTACTAAAAGGTTGTCATATTTAGAAATAAAAAATTTGAAAACAACAAATTTGTGCGAAACGTTGTTCAGCGTACAAGAATAAGGAGCCCAAAAAAGTAGGCAACACTTTTTTATATCTCACACTATTAGCAATAAAAGTGAGTTAAAAAGCTTACTTTTGATTCCCACAAGATCAAGAAGACAAAATCTAGTACCCCATTACCAAATATTAAATAAATAATGTCCCCATTTCTCCAAAACACGTCACAACCTGCCAAACTTTTTGGCATGCAAAGACGTTGAAAGCGCAAAAACGCCCCGAAGCAGCAACAGCAAAACCAACACTAATACTAATACACCAAGCTGCGCAATTTGCATGCGTGGCTGCCATCATATGAATATGTTTACACTTTACACTTACGCTTCTTATTTCTCTATTTTACATTTCATATGACGTACAACAACAACAATGAACAGGCATGAAGCCTCGCATTAAGAATCACTTTCGTGCCCATCAACTGTCGATTTGGCTGCGTCTGATACCCGAACTACATCGCGCCGGAATGGAGGATGTGATAGCTAGGCATAATCTATTTCGCAATCACGATGATATGGACTTGTACGAGGGACCTGTTAAACCGGATCCATTTGGTATATCAACAGCAACGTCATCGTCATCGTCTTCATCCTCATCGCGTCTTCTCCTCATCGATGAGCAATTGATGATGAAGAAGGGACGCGGCATGAATGCGTCAGCCTATTTAAATGGCATATTGGGTGGTAAGTAGGAGGCGTCAGTGACACCCTAACCTAAGCAATACAAATAAGCCAAAGCAAAGTTGCCGTCAACTGTTTGTAATTGGTAGCATTGCCAAAGTGTTCTTGCTGTTGTTGTTGCTATTGTCGTTGCCCTTTGGTGCCGTTTGTCGTTCACACAAATGTCAGAGGCTACCGAAAGCACGGCAACCATCTCCGTGACTCTGGCTTGGGGTTATCTTCTGGGCAAATATATTTTGTGTGTGGGTGTGTGTGTGTGTTTTTGTCTGTTTTGGTTTTCCTAACAGACCGACGACGGCAGTCAAAAGGCGTGCGCTTGTCAGTCCGTTAGATACCTTTGGCTAAAAACAACAAACGAGAGCGTGCGCGACGACAAACCCCAAAGGCACTCAGTTACTCAGCGCTTGCACTCAGAAAAAAAAAAAAACCCCCAAAACAAACTCTACAGACAAACTGAGATAATGCTTAGCAATTTGGGTTTAAATGAAATTTTGTTGTACAATTTTATAAATTAATGTGAAAAAATATCCCAAATAGGCCTTAAAATGAATTTTTATACTAGTAAGGACCAACGTGTTTTTAAAATTACTTTTCATGATTTTAAGAAGTTCGAATATTTTATAATTTTATAATAAAGCATTTACTATTTTTATAAAATTCATTATTAAGTTAGAGGTTAAATAACGAACTTATATTTCAAAAACAATTTTTTTAAATATATATATATATATATTTTTTATTTATTTATATTTATTTATTACTTTTATTATATTTATACTGAGCACTATTAGCTTAAACTTTAACTAAAGAACTAGGACTTCAAAATTAAATAGAAAACCCTTATGTTTTTTCTCTGTGTTGCTGACTGCTGTCTGTCTATGAAGCTACCTTAATGTCTGCCCTTTTAATGCTCCTGCTACTATACATATAAATGTTTGTTGGGCTTGTCTCATTTTTTGCTCTTCCAAATGCGCTGCACTTGTCATTTAATACATTTGACAAAGGCAAAAGGCAATATCTTAGCTTCAAATTTATTTGCCAATACCGTCTGGGTCTCTGACGTTGCCCGTTTGTCGAAATGAATCACCATAACCCACCATAACCCACAATAACAAGTCCTTCAGTTAGATACAGTCTGACAGTTGCTTGCCTCAGCAGTTTTGATTGCCTTTTATATCGTATCATGTGACCATGTCAGATTGTACACAGTTTCCATGAAATTTAACAAAGGGTTGCCAAAAAGTTTTTGCACAATAAATTACTTTAATTTGTGCATATTAGCGCATCAGTTTATCACAAATGCTAATGAATTTGAGCGCCAATGCGCACTAATTGAGATTTTTGGTTTACTTTTAACTCTGTTTGCTATGTATTTGCAACAATCATTATGATCATCATCTGGTCAATAAGCTTTAGCCATTGTTTGTGTTGCTTTGTTTTGTTTTTAATGGTGCGCAAATTGAAGATTTTATCACTTGGTTTGATGGGGCAGCGTAATTGCTTTTGTTTGCAGATTGCATGAATTGTAAATTCAGAAATTCCAGTTAAGCATTATCATAAATAAATCGATTAAACTGCAGCAATAAATCATTACAAAAATTTGTAAAATGTGGGATAATACAAGTTACGTTACATAGGCTGACATACAAATAAAAGCCCAATTAACTTGGTATTAAAATAAGCTCACTCACATTTATATTTAATGTAATGTGGTGGAATGAAATTGAAATTTAAGTGCTTTTTAAATTCTGTTTTAAAATGTTGAAAATGGTAAAGCAACACAAACTATGGTAACTATGCGCTTGTTCTGAAAGTTAATTTCATTTAAACAAAAGGACTTTTCTCACTTTGTACTATGTGCTCTACACTCTATAGCATTAAGCAGATGTCTCTCTGGTACACAGACTTTGAGTTGAACTACATGATACTTCCTTCCTAAGAGGTTTCATTAACACACACCCAAGCCCTAAAGTAACCATCAAAAGCAAACAAGCTCTAAAACTGCACTAAAACAACATTTCAATAATTTTTTAGTAATTTACATGACGTGGTTACTTAACTAACCCTCCCGGCTATTGCGCCATCAGCTAATGCTTTTTGCATTCGCCAACACACGCACACCATACACTCTTAGCCAAAACTGCGGAGAAAGTTTCCGTCTAAATTGACTGTCTTAGTTTTGACTTTGAGATAAGCAATGACTGTGGGAACTAGAAAGGAAATTGCACAGTGGGTTGTAGAAAACTAGTCTCAAAAGTTGACCATAACTTAAAAAAAAAATATTTTTTATTTCTAAAATAAAATTTTTTAAAACTTTCAATGAAGATTAAGTAGTCGGAAATGTGATTTATTCTTTATATTCAGAATTGATTGTAAAAATTATGTAAATAAGAGAGCTCTATCTAAATAGTAAGATGCAAGTTCAAACTATTCCATAATATTGAAAAGCGATTGAAAGTAATATTTTAAAATAAGTATGTGTTGAAAGTTATTAATAAAAAGCTTTGATCTGATATGTATCCCCATAGCTAAAAATTGAAGACTGTTGAATCTTAGGCGAGCTACCAAGCTTGGCACGGAAATGAGGGTAATAGCTTTGATAGAATTATTAGGGGAAAAGGGTAAAAGTCTTATTTGTTTTGGTTTTAAAACCCTATTAAACAAATAATTTTATTATTAATGTTCATTCAATTCATACATAAAACAGTACTTGCTAAGCACCCAAATTCCAATAATTAATGCCTACACCTAAAACTTTGTTGTCTGCTGAAGAGTATTCCTTATAAAGCTCTTTGCGTGGCAGAAGAAGAAACCTCCTCTCATTTCACTATAACCTCTTATATTTAAACATATGTCTATGCAACTCAACTCGCGCGTATTTATTTTTTTCATAATACCATAATGCGCTTACACAAAATTCATAAGACCTGAAATAAGATTTTCAAGTCAAAATTATTTTGCCCACGATTATTTCACTCCACTGTCCGCTAGAGCTGGCGGGTCTCAGCTGCCCCTGTCGACCAATGTTACTTGCCTCAGAACTTTCTTCAGGCAGCCACGCCCACAAGTATTTGATGTTTGAGTTGCCGAGGCAGTCGTCTCTAAGCTTTGCCGCACAAGTTACGCTTGTTACCGTCGCCGAGCGCCAATGCCAAAGCAGCTGCTTGAGTTGTTGCACTTGGCGCTGCTGTTGCCAGTTAGCAGCAGCTGTGGGGACAGTTTATTAAAAAAAAATATATATAAAGCAAAAGAAAAAGTACTGCTGTTGCGCTGCTACTCGGCAAAGTTTGCTGTTAATTTAGGGTAAGTGTTAAAAAAGTTCTATATTTGCGCTGCTTAAACGAGTTTTATATAAACTGGTTTAATGAGTTTTCAGCTTGGCGACAGAGTGTATAAAATCCTACGCACTGTTTGCTTTTGTGTGTCTGGGATTAACATGACTTAAGAAAAACCCGTTTGCATATGCAATGGGCATAAAAATAATGCAAACCTTTGCAGAACCCACACATGCCAGGGATGTATGTGGTCTAAAATATAAAATGATTGAGTCACAATATTTTTTTTTCTAGCTCCACTCTTCCCATATATATTAAAATACTATATGTTACACCTTCACAGAGAAACGTTGATTTGGCTTTGTTATAAAAAAGCTGCAGGTCTCGCAAAACGTATTACATAATAAACCAAAATTATTAAAATAAATATTTTATTTGCTCATAAGTTCAAAATAATAATTAAAATAGTTCATCATTAATTATTATTTAAAATAAAAATGTTTGTGTAATTCACAAAAACAACTCAGCTTTTACAATAAATTTATTCCGATTACTTTAACGTTAGTAAACATTGCACTACAATGTACTATGATTTTTAACGGAGGGAATTTGTACCTTCCTTTTGAGCGAGTTGCGTTGGCCATTCAGTTTTGTTTCCAGCCCTGTCTCAGAAGTAGATACACATATTTGTTTAAATGTCATGAACTTAGGCACAATGCACGAAAAAGGTTACACTGCCCGCACACACTTAATATGCTATATATATGTACATATCTATATAATAAATATATATGTTTGTGTGCGTGCGTATAGATTACAGTTGAGTGCATTTTCAAAAGTCAGCACACTCCGCACAATATAAATTCAAAAGCCAAGCCGGTCAGCCCGTAAGTAAAGCAAGCCAGCAAATAGCCATAGTGCACAAAAAAAGGGCCACAATTTCAATAAGCAAAGCTTAAGGACGGCAAAATTAAGGCACATGGTCATTTTCACTCCCAAACACACACATACTCGTTCTCCTACTCGTACACACACACATGAAGATACACAGCTGGAGGCCAAATGGAAACATCATGGCTTGTGTTTGAGAGCACAAAATGCCAAGTTTGCAATTTGCAATTTAACTTCAACCGACGACCACAAAGTGAAGCAAACACAGTGTGACAAAAGTACCCCACTGCCTAGGCCCAATATCTCCGCCAAATTCTGTTTCTTGATAGGCAAACAAGACCCGTCGTTAATGCTCAAGTGTTGATTTGACGTGAAGAGTCTGGACATGGTCATGGGTCCTGGTTCCACTTGCTGGGTTTCGTCTCAAGTTTTTGGCAAATACTTGTGCCAAAATGTTGGTAACAAATTTCTTTAGAATTTGTTTTCATTCGATTTCGGTATGTTTCGCTTTGATTTTTCGGGCCATAACCCTTGCTGTGGGTATGTGTGAATGTTCTAGCATCACATGGCGTATGCGTAATATTTGATTTGTTGCGTTTACAAGTTATTAAATTTGCACATGCGTCTGCAAAAACTGTGCTCATAATTTCCAACAGAGTTAAACGTTACAGCATTTTATTATGCGTGTGTGGCTGTTTGTGCATGCAACAGTGCGTATACGTCATAGGTATTTCGCAAGCTAATCAACAAGAAAGTTCAACTATTTGATATTCTTATCCACTCGTGCATTATTAATATATTGTATTGGTGCCTTAAATGTGAAAAACCACAATATGT